TTCTCACTCAACTGACCATGCTGGCCAAGGCAAAGGAGACAAAGAAGTGCTCTACACTCAGGCTGAGAACATCCATAATTATCAGTTCATGCCATGGGTCAGCTGTGTTGCTCCTGTTTATCCATTTTGAGATTGTTGTGACAGAATAGTGCTACTAAAACAGGATTGGTTGCCTGCCCAATCTTCACATTCTTCCATGTTAGACGTATCTGCAAAATGTTCATGTAACGACCTTTCCAGCATAATGCTCATGTTCTAGGAGAGAGTAAAAATGCTGCAGGCCATGCCATGAGGCATATCAATAGTCTTGGCAGAACTGGGGCTGGTGAAGTGACTGTCTCTGATGGTATACCACAAGCTCATTTTTTCTCACATACCCATACCACTTGGACTGCATTTCCTCTTCAGCATTCCTTGTTAGCCCAGTTCCAAACTCCCTTCTCTGTTTGGGATCCTGTATGTGATGCCACAATGAAGACAGAGTGCCCTCAAGAAGTGGGACATGATGTTTTCTTTCAAGGCGACTTTAGCACTGAGAAGACTCTGTGGACTATGCCCATTTTGCCAGGAAATAGTTAAGTGCAGAGAGGATGGGAACAACAGAACAGATGGTTCATTTTGTGCAAAAACCACACAAAAATGAGTCCAAGACCTTCCCAGACCTACCTTGGAATTGACTAAGTCTGAATCTGGCTCTCACACAGGCCAAGACATGAAATGTGCTAGATCCTGCTACTACTGCAAACAGCTCCTGAAAAGGGTTAAAGCCAGGACGGACAAGTGTGAGATCACTTGCCCGAGTTGCAAGAGAAGATGGCTGTCTTGGCAGGGGACCAACCGAGAAAGGCAGAGCTCAGTATTTTTGAGGGTAACACCATTGCTAGCAGGCTTCTGTTGGAAGCTGAAAACAGGACAGCATCCAGTCTGTCCAGACTTGACAGACTGCAGTCTGTCATGGAGTCCATGAGGGACTCCATCTCTCATGGAGACGTTGTGTCTATGCTGAGGGAGCAGTGTGTGACTCCTCACAGATGTCTCATTTCAGTGTCTTCTGCAGTGGAAGAAGAAAGTTGTTCCACCCTGTCCCATGCCCTGGTGGTTTTTAGATGACCATAGCTTCTGAGAACCTGGAATACTGTTTTCTTTTTGTTTACCAGTGATGGTCAGTCTATGCCTCTAGCCTGATTGCATAATGACATTAATCATTTGATTCGGACCATAATGCAACACCATATCTTGCCAGGGATAAAATTTGACCATATCACATTTGATGACACATGATGCTGTTCTCATTCATTGCCCCACAGATCTTAAAACCATCCTTCCCCATAAGTAAGGAGGAAGTAAGGACATCTCTCCTCACACTTCGCTTTAAATATCCTGTCCTGCATCACTCCATGCTGATGACCTCTGGCTCTAGACCAGGTTTGCAGGCACTCCCCATAAGAGAGGGTGTCAGCGTCTTAGGTCCCAAGCACAAAAATATAATGGAGAGATACCACAGCTCCTGTCAGCGTACCCCAGGATCTTTGAAGGGAAAAGTATAAATGTGTCCTGCCCTTTGAAGGCATTCGAGTAAGACAAATCCACAGGAAGAAGTGCTGCGCAGGTACACTGTATAGGCTGCCACATACTGACTCCAAGGCATGGACGGGCCTGGAAACCACGGTGCAGAAAACTAATAGCCAGAAGCCAGCCCTTCACCCATAACCCACTTCCCTTACATGCTTTTAAGCCATGACATTATGGCCTGAGCTAGGCAGAGTTTGCTATGCAGGCCCCTGCAGGATCACAGTGTGCATGCTACAGACCAGGCTGGGTCATAAGCAAGAGGCAGAAGAGCCTTGTGGGAGCTGCCAGCCAAGGGTACAGTCTGTTCTGTTTCACAAGCTTCAAAATTTTGGGGTCACTATACACAATTCTTGTGTATGTTCCATCAGCCTGCTCAGAAGTCTCGTGACAGCCGCTACGTACACCCTGTCCTAAAGCACAGAACAGAGGCATTCAATTTAGTATGCTGCTCAGGTGACTGAAGTACCAGTGGTTTACAAAATAGCTTATTCAGGAACAAATTATGTATGTGTCACTGCTCTCTGCAATAAATGTAGAAAGTTTTATAGTGTATTTGATGAAAAACTCAACTTTGATTCGGTTTTTTTTGTATCATTTAACTAAAATTTTATGTTCATGATTGCTTTCTACAATACGTGGTGCAAATGGAAAAGAAATATGGGGAAAATTACATCGCTAGCAGGAAAAAAATTAATAAATAAAATGTGCTGGAACTAAAACAGATGGTTGGCACCTGGTGGTTCTGTACAGCCCTGGGTGACAGCTAAGCTGTTCCTACGCTTGGAGAAGGAAAGGGCAGGGAAACATGTCTGTATCACTGTTGCACTTGTGCTATTTCAGGGCTCTTGGTGTTGTGGGGTCTGGGGTTACTAGCTGTGCCTAAACTGAAGGTTAGTTCTAGTTCCTCAACTGTCCACATCCCCCAGCGCTGCTCTTTTCCCAGAGCCTGGAGGATGTTGTGCACGTAGGCCAGATTACCACCATCACCGTGCCTAGGGATCAGGATCTCCAAGCACAGCATGGCACTTACCACCTCCGAAGCAAAGCCGGGGCGTGACAGCAGCCTCTGCTGCTCTGTCTTGCAGTCAGCTTCTCAGGAGTGCTGAGAAGTGGAAAGCAATCACAGTGTGGTTACTCCATGTATCGCCATGCCCTCCCTGCTTCTGAAATACACTTAATGTGGACCCGTGCAAGGCACTGCATTATATATTGCTGTCTGAGCAAGGGGACACTCCCTGCACAGAGGCTCCTTTGCAGAGAAAGTTTGTGACCTCTCCAAACAACTTTGCTGCAATACCGTCTCCAGTGGTCTAGATCTCTGTAACACTTTATGGCCACATACAGTCTCAGAAATAGGATGTCAGAGTTGTCACTCAGCTACAATTCATCCTTCCCACAAAGCTATTGAGTGTGACAGTAAACACTCATCTTCAGCTAAGGCCATTTTGAAAAATTACTTGAAGGCAAGTTGTTGAAAAACAGACAGGCTGTTTCAAATGGGAACAGTGAGGCCAGCGCCTGTGCTGATTTGCCTTAGGTTCGGATACAAGGTCACATAGTAGGAGAACTGAGAAAAAAAATCAGCATATGCTGTATAATGGGATAATTTTAGTAACAAAATTGCTCATTCTCATCTCTTATTCACAGAGATTCATTCAGCCAGCCTGGAACCTAGCCTCCTCCCTCCACAGGTTGTCTTTAGCTTGCATTGGTACCTGGTGATGCATATACCACATATAGGAAGTTAACTTCTTTGGTTGTCTCCCAAGGAAATGCTACATTGAGGAAAGCAAGGGAAGGAGAGGAGCTAGCACCGCTTTTCTCACCAGTGCTGTCTTGGAAAACTGGCAGTTCCGAGCAACCTGCATAGAGGTTGCATCCACTCCCACAAACCTCCTGCAGCAAAGGGGCAAGAGAGGTCCAGATTAAGGAGCAATGCAGTAAGATTTGACATGGGGCTCCTATGCCAGAAGCATGACCTTGCATGCCATGACAGTAGGTTGGAAGGATGAGGCACTACTGTCAAAAAGCACAACTACAGGAAGGATATTGAGAGCACTGGTACAGAAGTGGCTCTTCTCTTGTGTTGCATGCATCATGACTGCAATTCCAGTGCATTTTGCAACGGCTCTATTACTTCAAAAGTCCATGAGCAATAACAGTGTTCAGAATTCATCACCTTAGCCATCTAATGCTGGTTTTTCAGCATACAAAATGTCACAAGATAGATTACATGTCAGATTTTGGAAGGTCATTTCCAACATCCCGTTTCAGGAACATCTACTATTTACTTATTTACTGAGCACTCAGCACCTAACACATAGTCTAATCATTTTCATGTAACCATAGAAAAATTAGCCACTCTGGCCAGACTTCTGCAGGTAATACTGCAAACTTTATGAACAAGTGCTATAACCTGACTATCATGTTTGTAGTAGCATTCCTGTGACACTCAAGAAAGATTTCATCAAGTCTGTGCAGTATATGTTTTAAGCAGCTTGTCAGAGCCGCTAGCCTAAAAGCATCCTCAAACAGACATGACAAAAATGTTGCTCCTTTTATAGTTCATGTACTTAAGTGCAAGAACTGCATAAATGACTTATAACCTTTTTAATACGATAGCAATCAGTTGATTTACCACATCTTTAGACCAGCATCCCAGAACTTCTCCCTCCTAGATCTGCAAGTGTCCTTGAAACACTTTACCACTGAGCATCTTGCGTAAGTTTTAAGTCTATCTACTATTTCTTGACATGAACTTTCCATATTTATAGAGTTTCCATACTCACAGAAGAATTCCTAAGTGAAGCACTCAGAAGCAGTGTTAGCATCAAAATTTCAAAAGTGAGTTGCTCCTTTAATCTGTTTCCAAAGAACTAATCCTTTTTCAGAGCTCAGCTATATTAGGCTGTATAGTCGAAAATTCTACAAGGTTCAGGAATGGAAAGAGTAGTCCAGAAGCACTGTGAAAATTATTTCATTTACAATAAAAATGCATAGGAAATCCATGAATTTTGAGGGTAATAATGACAGAAAGTAAGCATGTGATCTCACCTGCTCTCTCTCTGTATTTCGTTCTCTGTTTAAGAGAGAAAAACATTCGCTGCAATTCCAGACTCTTTCCTCTCCCAATAGAGGGGGACAGGATTGTCTAGAATTTGTTTTATTTTTCAATTCCCAAAGAATATTCATACGAATCATTTACACTAGTGACTGGAAAAATTAGATAACTACAGATACACGACTTTGGAAATAACTTCTCGTCAATCAAAGTATTTGAAAGTGTTCTGATTAACAGCATTTGCTTCAAATAAGATGCTTTTAATTATGGTTTTAACTGATTATTGATACTTAACTACAGGTGTTTGCAGGGAAAACATTCTGTATGAATAATTGTATGATACGTTCAAAAAAACCAGTCATACCCGTTTCCACTGTGCAGTTTATTCAGTTTCAAATTAGAAAAAAATTACTAAGTATTTAACAATTCACATGCATAAACTCAAACATTTCAGCCCCCAAAAGTATTGATTTCTTTCAGTCTTGTATTAAGGCGTTCAGGAATTTCACCTAGGCAGACAAATATCTGGATTTTTAAAAAAAGAACCAAAATAGAGAGACAAGCTATAACTCAGTTTTACTTCTGTTAACAAATACAACCAAAGTGAGTCCTGGTAGTACGCAGTTGCATTCTTCATCTTTTCAGTTGTGTAGAGCTGATAGGAGTCAAAGTGATTGGGAATGAGTTATCTTCCAAAAGTTTTCTTCAGCAGTGTCTTGATTTGGAGTGCTGAATAAGCCATTGTAATGTTATGTCTGCCAGGATAAATAAAACAAAATGAAAAACTCAACAGCCTGTTTGCAGAGTGTAAAAGGACAACAGAACACCAGCAGGCTAATACAAATAAAAAAACCCCAAACAAACAAAACCCAGAAACCACAGGCTCTCATTTACACCTAATTAAAAATTCAGTACTTAAAACTCCAGGTAGGGTTTTTTCCTGTTGTTTTTTGTTTGTTTTTAAATTACGTGCATTTTGTATTCTTGAAATATGATGACTGACATCAAGTTCTCTAAGCCACAGATGAAGAACTGCTGGAAAAGCAAAGATTTAGGATGACCATAAAATGAACTGTAAAATCCAGACTAGAATGAAATGCAGTGTGAGAACAAAGGCAGAAATACACAACCAGAAGGAAAGAGAAGGGCAAACATCTGACAAAGCATTAAGAAGCCACTTAGGTAGGTTGTAGGAGTCCAAGGTCTCTGAAAGTCATGCAACATTGGACTAAAATTTGATAGCTGAAATTGGTAGCCCTCCTGATACAATCTAATGCATTGGGCTGAAAACTGCAGCAGTTCACAGACTGATTCATGAGCAGATTAGAAGGTTTTGCCTCAAGGCAGTAACATCTGTCAGGGAGGTAGGAAGGATGTCAGGGGGCAGCAACAGCTCTAGCCCTCAAATTTAAGTTTGTTGCCACATCTGTCCTAAGTTCAAGACAGCACTCCATGAACATCCTGGCAGACCAGCTTAGGCACTGAGACTGCAGACAAAAGCATCCCACGGCATCTAAAACAAAGCTAATAACTATATACTAATCTTCCACAGTCTCTCAGGACACAGAAACTGGCTGCCTTACACCTACACCTCCTGATGAGACCAGTTAGCTAGGCTGCAGTTTGCACTGAAAAATGACTATCATCTCATTCAAATGCATTGACATCAATCAAAAATGCAGAAGACAACGACAGCTCCCAGTCTTCTCCTTAACAGCCTGGTTTCATCACTTTAATAAGGTAAATATATTTTCATTATAGTTTTTCATTATAAATGATATTTTCCAGTCCCTTGATCTCCCTAGGTTCTTGCCCAACCTCTTTTCAGTTTCTCAAGGTCTTCCTCAAAATATGGCACACAGTGCTCCAGTAATGCCCGCACAGTTCCAAACACACGTGATATATGCAGTCTGCTCCCATTTGTTATTTCTTTGGGCAAATATTCAGGAACCAGGTTAGCCTTTCTTGGCACAATGTTACACTGGAAGATACTTGACTGATTCTCAGTTAGGATTTGAGTCGTTCTCATCACTACTCCCAGGACTTCCACAAGTAAGTGATCTACACGGTTCTGCATTAGTATCATTCTTTTCATTATTTTCCCATTTGCAAATTTTAGCATGTTTTTTTTGCATGCTTTTCTCCTCCAGGCCATCCATATAAATGAACCAGGATCAAAACCTATTTTCTCCAGGATCCTTTCAGAAATTAAGTTGTTTTTACCAGTTTCTAGTCACAGTACCACTTCTGAGATCCTCCACTGCAGCCTTGCCAATTTGATGAGGATCAAGCACTGCATTTCTAAAACCTCAGTCACCTTCACTTACGCAGATAATCCTGACTCTGTTGTCTTCCTCAGTCCTTATATCCCAAAGTCTAATCTTCCCCAGGGTAACACTACATTCTGTGTATTTCCCTCACTCAGAGGTAACTGTTGCACCCCAAGCAGCAGCAAACCTGGGTCTGGTCTCCTTCAAACCAACGTACCCAAATCGTGTACACCATTTCCAAGAGAAGCCCTCACTGCCTAACACGTCCCTGCACACAGCTGAAATCTCCCCCAGCTCTCTGAAGCCCAGGTGTCATGGCATAGTCTCCTCACCACCTCCACTACCTGGTCTTCTCTGCCTAGGATGGAAAAGAAGGTGGCTTCAGCTTTCCCCTGCTGGCTTTCCTCCCATTCCCGCTCCCACCGTCTGTCGTTCAGCTGAGCCCTACAGAGCTGCCCAGCTCTTCTAACGAGGCTGGCTTCCTCAGGAAGCAGCTATAAATACCTACCCAGGCTGTATCCCTCCCATCCAGCACCACTTGCCTTAGCAGCGTGCAGGGAAGAAGGGTGGCACAGAGGCAGCATGCCCCCAGGCAACTGCTGCTGCTGGCTCAGCCTGTGCTTCACCCCTTCCTCCTCCCCTGTGGAGGGAAGGGAAGGGGACAACATAACAGAGGAAAGGGACAGGAAAGTGGAAGAAAGGGGGGAGAGAGGAAAGGGCAAAAAGCAAAGGCAGATGGAAGACAACTTCATGGGGTTTTTATAGGTCCTCACTGACTTCAGGATATGCTCTTTGCATCTCCAGCAGGGCAAAAGCACTAGTCCCTCAGTTTGAGGAACACCGCCATGCAGCCAGACGCATGTTAAGGCCTGCTTACAAAGTAAAATCGTGTATGGAGCGAAATGCTTACCAAAACTTTTTAAGTATCACCTAATAATTGGAAGGCCTTCATATCCAGTCACTATTTTTTCAAAAGTAACACAGTTTTTGTGAGGGATTCAATTACTTCGGGGTTAAATATGCTTTTCCAAGGCCCCTATCAAATTAATTTCTTAACTTCTCATGGAACTAAATAATTCTACAAGTGATTTTTAAATTACACATAATTCTATGTTAGAACAAATGCAATTTGCATGCAATATTTGCAACAAAATCTTTTGAAGTAAATTGAGATTTTCAGTTAGATATTGGAGTTAGATATTCAAATCTCATTAACATTTTTAACATCTGATCCAAAGTACAAAGCATACACTGATGATGCTGTAAGAAAAAGAAGCTTACCGATGTTATCCTTCTCTTTACAGGAAATAGAATAGCAACAGATTTCTCTGTCCTGAATAGCTGAAAGGTTTCTACAGAAACAAAAATAATAAAATAAGTAGTGTCATAACTCCACAAAAACTGACAAAAGAAACTTCCATTAAATTATATGTTTTCTGCTTTTTATTCAGTGGGTTCAATTCTATCCTCAGATATTAAATTTTTAAAATATGCTACTGCACACAAAACCCCCCACATTTCTTAAACTATAGAGATTAAAAGGTTATAAAGTAATTTCACAAAAATTCAAATTTCTCATTAAGTCAGTGCAATAGTGAATAATAAAAACACAGAAATCCATGAGCTGAAAATAACATTTTCTAGCAACCAAGTAACATTACCCTTAGCATTCACCTTTTACTCTTTTCACTTAGAATTCAGAGTTTTTATCTCTAATAACTCTTACAATCAAGTAACAGCACTCAAATGATCACACCATTAATCTTCAGGATGTTTATTATATCATACTTAAATATATCAGATCTGATTCCTACTGAAAGGATGCCTCTACATTTAGGAAGAAACTGATTCTTAATTAACTTCCGTTTCTTTCTGGTAAATTCCAGAATAGCACTTTGTTATTTTTTCATTTATTTATCCTCACACAAGTGACACAGACATGCAGGAAACAGATTACGTTCCTGGAGCAGATGGGGAGTGGAGGCACCGAGAAGGAGAGTCTCGAGATCACACAAGAGACTCAAATATAGAAGAGAGCTAAATAATGACCTCCTTGGACTTCAGGAGAGCAGACTTGGCCTCTTCAGGGATCTGCTTGGAAGAGTCCCATGGGATAAGACCCTGTAGCAAAGAAGGGCCCAAGAAAGCTGGATAATATTCAAGGATCACCTCCAAGCTCAAAAGCAGCCCATCCTAACAAGTCCGGAAAAAAAGCCAGGAGGCGTAAGTGGATGAACGATGGCCTCCTGGCAAAACCCAATCACAAAAAGGAAGCATACAGAAAGTGGAAGCAGGGACAGGTAGCCTGGGAGGAATACAGAAACATTGTCCAAGCATGCAGAGACACAGTTAGGAGAGCCAAAGCTCAGCTAAAATTGGATTTTGTGAGGGATGTCAAAGGCAACAAGAAGGGCTTCTATAAGTACGTAAGTGACAAATGGAAGACAAGAGAAAATGTGGGCCCATTGCTCAGTGAGATGGGGGACCTGGTTACACATGACATGGAGAAAGCAGAAATACTGACTGCAGCCTTTGCTAGCAAGATTAGCCTTCAGGAATCCCAGGCCCCAGAGACCAGGGGGAAAGTCTGCAGCAAGGAAGTTGTACCCTTGATGGAAGAGGATCAGGTCAGGGAATACATAAGCAGACTGGACATACAGAAGTCCATGGGCCCTGGTGGGATGCACCTACGACTGATGAGGGAGCTGGCTGATGTCATTGTGAGGCCACTCTCGATAACCTTTGAACTATCATGGCAACTGGGAGAGGTGCCTGAAGAGTAGAGGAAAGCAAATGTCACTCATCTTCAGAAAGAGCAGGAAGAAGGACCCAGGGAACTACATAACAGGCAGCCTCACCTTGATCCCTGGGAAGGTGATGGAGCAACTAATCCTGGAAACCATTTCCAGGAATGTGATGGACAAGAAGGCGATCAGGAGTAGTCAGCAAGGATTCACAAAGGGGAAATCATGCTTGGCCAACTCGATAACCTTCTACAATGAAATCTACAGCTTATTAGATGAGGGGAGAGTAGTGGATATTGTGTACCTTGACTGTCTCCCATAATATCCTCATAGACAAGCTGAGGAAGTACGGGCTGGATGAGCAGACAGCGAGGTGGAATGAAAACTGGTTGAACAGTCAGGCCCAGAGGGTGGCAATCAGTGGCACGAAGACTAGTTGGAGGCCAGTAACTAGCGGTGTACCCCAGGGATCAATACTGGGTCCAATCCTGTTCAACATTTTCATCAGTTATCTGGATGATGGGACAGAATGTACCCTCAGCCAGCTTGCTGATGACACAAAACGGGGAGGAGTGGCTAATACACCAGAGGGTTGTGCTGCCATTCAGAGGGACCTCCACAGGCTGAAGAAATGGGCTGACAGGAACCTCCTGCAGTTCAACAAGGGGAAGTGCAAAGTCCTGTCCTTGGGGAGGAACAACCCCAGGCACCAGTACATGCCGGGGGCCAACTGTCTGGGAAAGCAGCTTTGCAGAAAAGGACGTGGGGGTCCTGGTGGACACCAAGTTGAACATGATCTAGCAATGTGGAAAAAATGGCTAATGGTATCCTGGGCTGCATTAGGAGGAGTGTTGCCAGCAGGTTGAGGAAGATGATCCTTCCCCTGTACTCAGCACTGGTAAGGCCATACCTGGAGTGCTGTATCCAGTTCTGGGCTCCCCAGTACAAGAGGGATGTGAAGCTACTGGAGACAGTCCAGTGAAGGGCCACTAAAATCATTAAGAGACTGGAGCATCTCACATATTCTGAAAGGCTGAGAGAGCTGGGACTGTTTAGCCTAGAGAAGAAAAGGCTCAGGGGGGATCTTATTAATGTGTACAAATATCTGAAGGGAGGCTGTAAAGAAGATGGACCCCAGTGACAGGACAAGAGGCAATGGGCACAAATTGAAACACAGGAGAACCCCTCTGAACATGAAGAAACACTTTTTACCTCTGAGGGTGACCAAGCACTAGCACAGGTTGCCCAGAGAGGTTGCAGAGTCTCCATCCTTGGAGATACTCAAAAGCCGTCTGGACACGGTCCAGGACAATCAGCTCTAGGTGGCTCTGCTTCAGTCTGAACATAAAGAAACACTTTTTACCTCTGAGGGTGACCAAGCACTAGCACAGGTTGCCCAGAGAGGTTGCAGAGTCTCCATCCTTGGAGATACTCAAAAGCCGTCTGGACACGGTCCAGGACAATCAGCTCTAGGTGGCTCTGCTTCAGCAGGTGGGTGGACAAGATGACCTCCAGAGGTTCCTTCCAACCTCAGCCATTCTGTGTTTCCTAAGTCCCAGTTTAGTTGCTTAGCCTTTGGATCATCCTTCTATACTGAAACTCCACTTCACTTTCTACTGATTAAAATTATGTGATTTGAGACATAGAATCCTATTCTGCAAAATGAGTGCTATACTGGCCATTTTTACAAAATTGTATATTTTCTTTACAATTATCCTTACAATGCATCAATTTAAGTTAGTTTCAGCAATCCATAAGTATATGCTTTGGATACATGCCAAAAATATCTGAATTGCTTAAATTTACAGACAGTAGTTTGAAATGGTTCTGTTCTAATGCCATTCGAGCATTAAACTGCCACTACAATGTACTCTGAGAAAAGTGTAAGTGAGCCTATTACTATCTATAGCAGTTGTATCTTTGGTGATGGGAAAACAGGATTATCTGAAACAACTTTATACAACCAAAATAATAATCAAGAGAGGTTCAAATCTACTGCAGTCAGTTATCAGCCTAGATTGCTGTTTCAGCTGCCAGCAGAGCTTGAAGTGGAGTATCCGAGAATGTAAAAAGGAATCTGTTATAGCTGGTTATTGCCATAGATTTTCTCTTACGTATCAAATTTCACAGTGTCTCAGCTTTTTACAGAGGCCAGCTACTTACAATTTCTCAATTAACTGCTTTTCATCCAGTGCACCTGGGAGGTCTCTTTTATTTCCAAGGACTAACACCTGAAAGAAATCATTCATATTCATGTTAAATCCAGGAGCAATAAAAGTTTATTTTTGTCTTTAACCATTTGTTCACATTAAGTTGGCATCTAAGTATTTAGAATGAACTAGCAGACATATTCAAAATGACCAATGACTGTGGGAGCATCGTGGAAATCCCACTCCTAGTCAGGGTCAGATGCTGGACGCACACCCACTGAAAACTGGATCCAGTTATTTCTGGGTGTATCAGTATGAGAAGTCTCTGGAAGTGAATGTCTCCATTCTGGATGGCAGTATGGGATGATGTCAGATTGCATGCAACTAAACCTGGAGGAGAGGATGCACCAGGTGCACTCAAGCCACCAAGAGACATGCAATTCACAGGACCAGACTAATGTTAATCAAAAGTAGGGCCCCAGCAGTAGAGGCTGGGTCAAGACCCAGACATGATTCTCTCTACAGTTTTGCTCCCCTGCTTCTTAACATTGACATACTAAACAGCCAGGCATCCAAACCACGTTATCACCCAAGCACCAGCCAAATGACTGATCCCTCTCCCTCCACTTTGAGCATCCACAGTAGAAATCAGAAAGACAGCCATTAGGAATTAAGTCTGAGAAATGCAGAAAATCTACTGAATAGATGCTGGAACTTAAGAGTTCCTACGCAATACTTAAGGCTTCAAGTATAAATTAAGGTCAGATAAATGGGTTGAGCACATTCTAAGCAATGGAAGGTTTTTCTAATTATGATTGCATTATTGTTTTCCAGATGCATTACAATTCCGAGTCAAGACTGTCCCATTATTTCCAATGAATCTGGAACACATTAAAACTCATTACTTGCAGTCTCAGATTAATAAAGCTACCTTAAAATCAATAATGCCAAAGCCTGAGTACAATTAATTGAAGGACGTTCAATACTAGTTACTACCTGTGAAAGAAAAGCAAGTAAAAAATACATTGGACCTTGGAAATTACCGTGCTAATCAGGCTGGGCAATTCGGATGTGATGTTATAACATATAAAAGGAAAGGAACTTAATTAAATGCTTCCCTTCTGAGGGGAACAGAGGGCCCTATATGCCGACCGGACCCGTCCCACAGGGAAGTCTGCTGCCTCCCTGGGGCCAGGGTCAGAGACATTACTAGGAAACTCCCTGATCTGGTACGGTCTACTGACTACTACCCGCTGTTGGTTATACAGGGTGGCAGTGATGAGGTTGCAGAGAGAAGTCCTGAGGCGATCAAAAGGGACTTCAGGGCACTGGGGCGA